CTTGGGGAATCAGTTGAACCATTTTTAATTGTTGTTATTCCAAGATCTCGAATTAACTTCCTATTATAGATAAAAAGTTTAAATAATCTTTTTAATTAAACAGTGACGTTTTATTGGGATACATACTCGTTAATTTTATCCTCATTGTGCCTTACTGGAAAAAGAGCATATTCTTGGGATTGACACAGAATTTGTATTAAATCATCGATACTATTGGTAGGTTTAAATTGCTTCTGGAAGTGAGCTACAGTTTCATGAGATAGGTAATAAAATGAAGTAATGTGACCAAAGAAGGTTGGCTTAAAATAGCATAAATCTTCCTTATAATAATAAAATTGTATTTTATACCATTTTTCATTTGATACTTATTGATAAAGTATACTCACATGTAGTGCAATTGAAATGCAGTTGGTTTTAATTAATTCAACAATTACACTATCAATCAAATCACTTAAATATGTTTGTACTGTCTCTTCTTCTATATTATCCAGATTATAATAAGTAGGATTTTGCAGAAGTCGTCTGTAGAAATAAGTCCATTTAATATATTCCACCAGATTTTCTTTAGTTGATACAGTTTCAGCAGCTATTTCAGCATTAACATGGTCAGGAAGAACTTCAAGTAGATTTGATTCAATAGGAAAAGGTTCGTAGAGAAATTTTTTGTAAAAATTTTTTTTTAAATCATGAACAAAAACGCATGCCACTCCACTCGTATCAAACTGAGGTCGACCTGCTCGGCCCATCATTTGCAATACATCAGTAATAGGCATATCTGCATAACGTTTTGTTTTACCGTCATAATATTCTGTTCCTAAAACAGTTTAATTCAGCATCAAAACTAACAGTTTGGGTGGGGGGTATCCAAAAAATGTAATATTTAAAAAAATGACGACTGTTAAACCATATCTTACCTTTTATAACAACAAGGTGAGCAGGAAAGTTTACACCCCACGCCAAAGTAGCTGTAGCGATAAGAACTTGAATCTTTTGATTAACAAAGAGTTCTTCAACAGTCTTTCGGTCACGTTCTTGTAAACCTGCGTGATGTATTCCTATTCCGAAAGGTAAAAAGTGTTTCAAATCCGGATCACTAATAGTAGAAACAACCATGTCAATATTTTCTTCTGAACACTTTAGCCATTGTTTAGGATCAGCGTCTATTGCTAAATAATTAATGAGATCACTAGCAGTTAGACGCGTCTGTTTCCTTGAGGAACAAAAAACTAAAGCTGGACTATCTGGGGCATGCTGACGTATTGCCTGATATGTGGGACGATTCATTGATATCATTCTTGGACAGTAATGCTTTCCTGGAAATCCTGAAATATGAACTTCTAACGGTACGGGGCGCACAGACGGCCTAAAATTGTATAACCCCACCTGAAAAAAAAATTATCAAACACTTTTTATGATTTATTAACTCAAGATATATTAACCCTGATGTCACCTATAAAAAAAAAAAAACAGAATTCCAGGAGCAGCCTAATATAATTCCAACTACTTTTCAGGGCAGTCAAAACAAATTATCCGCTCTTAATTAGAATAAAATTATAGCATTGACTGTAATAAAATAAAAGTATTGAAGTTTCATGAACAAAAATGAAAGACTTCAATAGTTCTTTTTTTAAATTTTGTTTGGGGCAGTCTACACGCATTACATACCTGCCAAAATATTATTCTTCTGTGATATATAAAAGGGAGTCTACTCCCGTTTAATGAATAAATAATAATAATAAATTGAAAATTAAGAGGAATACTCACCCCTAATTACCACAAATAATTTTATTTGAGCGGACACGTGTTTCGCTCGCTTCATATGTGGGCATTATCAACGCGAGACTGGTTCTGGGTAATCCCACATTACCCTGTTTATATTGTTTACCTAAGATCCATAAGTCCGGTAAATCGATGAGACCAATAGTTTCAGATATCAACTCACCGATTTACTTTCTTTCAAAATTTTTAACAAAGGAATTCAGCTCTTTACCTGTTCCTTTTGATTCATTTTAAATTGAAAACTCATTAAAAGTCATTAATAAGATTACAAATATAACATTAGAACCAGGTGAAGTCTTGATTTCCTTTGATGTTTGTTCTTTATTTCCTAGTGTTCCTATCCCTGAGTCTTTGAAATATTTGGAAACACATTTAATCAATAATAACATCAATAAAGATAAAATGGAAGAATTTTTAAGATTAACTTCATTTTGCATGGATAACACATTCTTCCAAACAAATCAAAACTTTTTTAAACAAAATAAAGGTACAGCAATGGGTAATAGTCTATCCCCATTCATAGCAAATTTATTCATGAGCAAAAAAAAATGGGTGAAACACGTGTCCGCTCAAATAAAATTATTTGTGGTAATTAGGGGTGAGTATTCCTTTTAATTTTTTATTAATAGTTTAATGCTTCTTAAAAATTGAGTCCCACCCCATGGTAGTGTTTTTGGATGTTATGGTCAATATAATTGAGTTCTGAATGCTTCTCTTAAATATATGGACCCCTTTTTGTACTGTATGATTGTCGTGTTGGTCTGTAGCGAACGTAGGTCATGAAAACTTTCTCATACCTACGGTGTGTTTGTTACCTATCTAATAATACAATAAGTGTACAACTATTTACGAACCATACCGAGAATGTAGTAAGTACTTGCTGGTTGTTGGTTGGTAGGTAAGGACACTGGCAGTCGCTGCTGCTGCTGTGGTGCCCATCGAAGACCACCACATACATACATACAAACAGTAAGAAAGAAGAATTGCGGCATTATTCGTGCANATAACATCAATAAAGATAAAATGGAAGAATTTTTAAGATTAACTTCATTTTGCATGGATAACACATTCTTCCAAACAAATCAAAACTTTTTTAAACAAAATAAAGGTACAGCAATGGGTAATAGTCTATCCCCATTCATAGCAAATTTATTCATGAGCAAAAAAAAATGGGTGAAACACGTGTCCGCTCAAATAAAATTATTTGTGGTAATTAGGGGTGAGTATTCCTTTTAATTTTTTATTAATATTTACCACAGTCTCCTCTTTCTAATTTATGTAGGAATACTGCAAGGTTCTTTCTATTTTAAGTTTTGAAGTTGGACCCATTTCGTGTCTTATGTTTGTTCCGATTTACAAAAAAAAATTTAAGTCCTTCAATAACTGAGCATTAATCATCACAATCGCTGTAATAATGTCGTCAGTCAAAAGAGTGGTTCGATTCCGTCCTATTCCTAAATTAATATGCGTAACCTTCGCACTTCCCTAAAACCAGAACATCCCACATCCATATGTATTAACCCAGTGGGCAGCAAAGTGTAGCTCTTTGGCCTGCGGTTCTGTGGTCACATGAAGGTGCTAATAATGGTGATTAAAATCTCATAAAATGTTTGTCTCTGGTTTATACTAACAAACTGACAATGTTATCAAACGGGGGAAGTTGTTGAAGATGATGAAAATCCCGTGGATAGAAATGAGGAAGTAAGATATGAAAAAAGTCTGGAATAGGGTTAAGGATGGGAGATATTCCAGTTTTCGGAAAATTAACTCTTGATAAGGAAGATGCGTCTCAAACTAATGAGCTGACGGCCCTATTTTGATGATGATGATGATGATAATTTCGTTACCCTTTTTCATTAACAAATTGACTCTTTTATCTCTAATATATTTACATCTAGTCATCCATGTTTTAAAAGATAACCCATCATCCTACATATCTATCCATTTCCTTATTGATTTCTCTGGCAGTCCTTGTTCTTCTGAGTTTTCCAATACCTTCTCATTTCTGTCTTTTTCATTTCCTTTTTTATTGTAAAAAGTAATTAAAACTATTTCATAAAAAATTAGAGGCATTCTAGGAGTTAAGAGGCGTACAGGTAGACCTAGATTAGTTTACTGTTCCCAAATACTAAAGTTAAAGTTTTCGAGAAATGCGAAAATTGGTAAAGAAAGGAAGAAGTGGAGTCCAATCAGTCTTCGGGGCGAGGATCTTATGGTAATGATGATGAAACTAAGCCAAATAATTCCAGAGAATTGTATATAGATTATATCGTTTTAAGCCCAGTGAAATATGGGCGAACGCGAGTCATACGTTTCTGCTTATTTATCTGTTGCAATATGAGACTGTACGAAAGACAGAATTTTTTATTTTGTTTTTGAAGTGAAACTTCTTTACGCACGGTAGGGTAAGTTCGTTTCATGCAAGTTGCTATGTAACGAAATCATGCAACGCATTTCCCCCGCTGTCTGTCCCTACGTATGCTTAGATCTTTAAAACTACGCAACAGATTTTAATGCTGTTTTTTTAATAGATAGAGTAATTCAAGAGGAAGGCTTATATGTATAATACATGCATAATATAGTTGAGAAACACTGATAATTTTAGATGTTTGTGATGTGATGTCGTAAATAAACACATTTTTTGCGCTTACATTGTAAACGCTGGCTGAACCCTACGAGATAGGCCAAATTAATATACTACAGTATTATACACCTAAAAGGTCTACAAAAAGTCCGCGATGGTATATGTCTATCTCTTAGGGATAACCCACAATAACTATTTTTTATCCTTTACTTTTTACGAGAAATATCTAATGGCTTATTTACGAAGCGATTTTAAGCAATACAGCATTAATCCTTAATCCAATTAAGTACTTTTAAATACATTGTGCATTTAATATAGATCAATATGGCCCTTTACAGCATGTAATTTAAATGAATATTTTCGAAGATATTACAGACTTAAAATGCAGGGACATAGCGGTTGCGGCTGTACCGGCCAGTTTGTATTGTCTAATGATAAAAAAGCTGTGATTGTTGTATATAAAGACATTCTATAGTATATTTACCATCGGCATTGCACCCGTGCGAAGCATAGTGTACAAATAATACCATTAAATCAATTGCTTAACCCCTATCTCGGTATGTTTGTGTGTTCGAAGAAGTTTCACTTCAGTAGCGTGTTGTATAACTACACGTTGTATTTATTTTTTTGCTTTCGTGGAAGAGGGAAAATCTTCAAAAGAAACCCGGCCTACCGTACGACTCGGCAGTGTCGCATTCCCGAGGAAAATGTCCTCGGACCTCCCGACTAAAACCTCTCTACCTCTTCAGTCAGATGGACAGAATGCGTGTTGTATATCACAAGGGGTACGCAAGATTTTGGATTCGGAGGAAGGGTGTACATATTGTGTATAAAATTGCTAGTATACATCAGTGTTTTCAATTAGAACTAACTATTTTTGTTTCATTCACTGTCTGGTCAAAATATCTCTCTTTTATTTCCGATCGTTCAAAAAGGCAAGCTTTCTAGGTTCGAACCCTTACCATAAAGCATATTCCTTACAAAATTACCATTCCTTGCTATCACTACTCTCTACGTATTCCTAAAATTAAATTTTATGACTTATTATTGGAGCTTTCTCATCTTTAAATAGATCCTTCAATACCACTTGTTTCTATTATGGTGTTGTCACTTCTTGTTTAGGGTATTCTTTTAATCTCATGGAAGGTTTTAACCCAATAATCCCTCTCTCCTAGGTAACATTGAGTGCACACGAAATGTTGTAGTGATGCTACTGCAAAGATGTAGATATTAGAATAAAATTTTGAGAAGCACTGTAATATGGTCATGTTGAACTTCAACAAATCGTAGGTGCACTTTCTTATTACGGTTGCTTAAGTTCGTGTTCGTCCTTGACGTTAAATATCCTACTGTCACTCCTATTGCGCTACCCTTTACGTTAACATACTGCATCAGATAATGACCCTAATCGTGTTTTTAACGTCATTCTTTTCAAACGTTCCAATAACAAAGTACCTTTACTCATGATTATTAGGAAACATTTTCTTCCATACTAACGTCGTTTTTTCTTATCTTACAATTAGTTCTTAATACAATTATTGTATTAGTTATTAGATTTAATAAACTTTTTTTAATTAACCGATAATAATACTACAATACCCATGAGCTATGAAGAATGAGAACGTCAAGGTACCTTTTAGATTTCGTTCTAGTCACTGAATAATGAAGGTCCATCTCTTCTAGAAAGAGATATGTTGTCATCAGAAAAATGCTTCCATTTGGAGACTATATAATCCTAAATTCTTATATCTTTTAGCCTAGGTTGCACTCTGATACTATACCTTCGTTCCGATAAGAAAAGAACATTAAAATACATTATATCGGAAAATGTAGTCTGAACAACAACTGGTTGTAAATTTGGAGTATTCCAAACTTTTTAACGAAAAATATACACTCTTGACGAGCAGATTTTATATAGAACGAATGGTAGAACCAATTTAAATTTTTTATGTAAGCTATCGTGTATCTTTCAATCTAGTTTATATCAAAGATTCGTAGTGCTTATTGGTTGTACTAATGCATAGAATAGTAATAGTTCAATTACTGTATTTTGTATGTTTTAAGTATGTATCAATCGTATTTTTTATGAATCTCCTCAAATTTCAAAAATGTATAGTAGGTGACAATCCAATCCTTATCTCATCATGATCGTCGTCGTCATATCTAAGACTGGTTGGACACGCACTTCCACTCTTTCCTATCCTGAGCTAATCTTCGTATTTCCCTAAAACTAGAACAACCCATATCCTTAACTATTTGCAAGCAGTAATCTACTTTACCCCTCCTAACTTCCGCTTCTGCCTCTAATATGTCTCTGACTAGACCTTCATGCCTGAGAAGGTGTCCTACCAACCTATCTTCCCTATTTCTTATTGACTTCCATAGAGTCCTGGGTTCTTTAGCTCATTCTAATACCTCTTCATTTCTAACCTTCTCTATGCACAGTGTCCTCACCATTCTCCTGTAACACCATATTTCGAAGGCTTCTATAACATTATTTTTCAAGGAAACAAATTTTAAATATCGATTAAGACTTTGAAATGCTCAAATTATTTATTTTTGAAGGTACTGTCAAATTCGGACTTAAGGAGCGGGTTTAAAGATTACTAACTATATGAGTCAAATCAAAAACACCTCAGGAACTACAATACTGTTGTTGCGTTATTACAAAAAAGACACTTTTATATTGACTAGAGAATTATCATTTTCTCGAAATAGTTTATCAAATTTGATATCATAATTTTTGCATGCAGATGCTAAAAACCAAAAAATTACGTTTCACCATTCATATCAAATTTGATATCATAATTTTTGCATGCAGATGCTAAAAACCAAAAAATTACGTTTCACCATTCATATTGTCAATGTTGTTACTTTAAATATTGTCAATTGACAAAACGGGCATCATATGTTCATCAAAACTTTTTATAATCGCTGAAAATTTAAAGTGTATCACCTCTTCCTATACAACTTAATTTTTCTTTTTTAGTTTGACTTGGTTTTTAAAATTTATCATGTTATTCCATAATCCAGACGTAAAGTCTTCTTAATTTGAACTCATTGTCAAAACAGAAAAGTAGTAAATATAGAGAAGGAAGTAGAGAAAGTTTATTAACGAATTTGAATTTTTGCAAATTTACCAGAATTGGATTTTATTTTAAAATCATCAATTATACAAATCAAAAGAAAATGCTGCTACTACCTATCGCAGAAAAATTGGTAACATCAGCGTCGAAAGACTACAAAAAATAAAAAATAAAACAAATAAATTTAAATTATCGTTTATTCAAAATAATATACACAGTTGGATACTTCTCTATTAGGTTCTATAGACATTAGCGACATATTGGTCAATCTTCTGTACTTCTTAATTCATTTTTTATTCCTTTTAACTTGGAGAAAAAGCACTTCCCAGTGCCGTTAGTTATCGTCATGCTTAAAAAGATTCTTAATGCTCTTTCTACATTTGGAAATGTAGTTTCAATTTTGTTTTGTAATTAATGGTTAATTTCCCCAATATAAATATATTTATCGGTAATACATATTGTTTTTCGGTTGGTGGATGGATCTGGCATAAACTAGAGGGCCCTTGGGCAATCTTACCCAGAATCCCCAATGGAAAAGAGGGACCTGTTCACATCGATATTGAAGTTTTATTTATTCGACGGTGACATCTTTTTAGAGCAAGGCAATCGAAAATCGAAAAGGCCAGTAACCAAAAACCAGTCTGCTTGATAATTAGTTGCTTACTAATATATCTATTAATAACAAAACTTCGGGTACAAATACACTTGAGGTACAAATGGGACAAGGATCTTTATGAAAGGACAATAAAACAACTTTTCTTTGTTATGTATGATTCATTTTGATATCTTTATATCGAATTTTACACGTCAGGGAATAAGGTCAGATTTTGTTGGATTTCCACAAAATCCAACATACAATAGCTGATATGTATGTAACTCATATTAAAGGCACATTGTCATTTACTGTGTGTGAAATGTGTTATTCACTACCTATATACATTCGTTGTAAAAAAACATATTTATAAAACAATAATAAGAATAAAAATAATATGAAATCGTAGTCGTTGTTTTGTTCACTTTTTGTTTTTCATGGAAAATGTGAAGGACGTTCCCTTAATTAGACTAGAACAACAACGTTTAACGTTTAAATAATAATAATAAAAAAAAAAAGAAAAAGTTGAAAACAATACAAGGCAATTTTGATGTCGTAAATGTGTAGGCATATAAAACAATTGGTTACTTAAAAATACGCTAGTAATTAATAGTATCACTTATTTTCTAGATTTCTTGACAGGTTTTCCTGCCGATGGTTCGTCCTTGTACCAGTCCTCACTGAAAGTAAAAAGCAATTACTGACTAAAAATATTAATTTGATTAACCTTCTTTTGACAGTCAAGCTGAATATCTACTTGTGAAAATTTGATGTTGTTCGATCCTAATAGAAATCAGTTGTTTGGTAGTTCCAACATATTCTTAATTTGTAGATACATATCTATGTATATTAGAATTATGTGGTTTAGAATTACGTTTTTTTATGAAACAATTGTCGAATTATAAATTTTAAGATCAGTAATGGTGTAGGCAGCATGGGATTCGTTTGTAGAACATCGTGGTTCGAGAACCGTTCATTAAGATTATTTAATGGTATAGAAGTCAGTGCGCTACCTATATAAAGTTGGGAAGT